TGTAAATTTTGGTCAATGACATGAGACAAAGTGTATGTGGACTGCTGTATGAAAAGTGAATTTACTCTGTAAATCTTCACCCAAATCCTAATTTAAAAAAAAAAAAAAAAAGTTGAAAATAGAAACTTTTTGATCCATTTGATCCAGCAATCCTTTAAAACAAAACAAAACAAAACAAAAAAAGAGGGAACACAATACAATAGCTAATTGTGTGCTTTGTAATAGAACATTCTCATTCTTAAACATCTGTTGCTCTGCAAACAAGGATGATTAACCACTTGGCTGCTGGGCCTCAAGATTCTCCATTTGTTGCAGTAAAAAAGGTGATGTCTGCCCTATTTTCCCTCCTTTTAATCTGGACAATTAGCTGGGCATATTCTCATCTACAAAGAGAGCCATTGTGTTGATAATGAATCATTTCCTTACTCAGGGTCCTGGAGTGGAAAAAGACAATAGTAGTATTGCTGTAGGACTCCCTTAGGCAGAGTACACACTCGTCTAGACAGGACTCTTATATTATCTGACCAAGTTACTGTAATTACAGAGATAACTAGACGCACTAAGGCACTAGACACTTGAAGAGCAGAACTGACTCTGGTTGAAGCTATAGATCAGGGCAGAAGAAGGTTCAAGTTGGCTTTGCATGTTAATGTATCTCTGTTGTGTTTAGTCACAGTCAACTATTGAGCAAAACCTATGTTCCTTAGGAAATGAAATTTAAACATTACAAGCTTTTTCATTTAGATCTAAAGAAAGAGTAGCAAAATTGTTTCTTAGTACTTAGTGCCTATTACTGAATTTAATTTGATATACCTATGTTATGGCTCTGCATTTCCTAATAGAGATTTATTTCTGTAGTTAGTAGTTAAACAACTGGGATTTGACACTCGAGTGACAATACTTGGACATGTGCAAAGAGGAGGAACTCCATCAGCTTTTGATAGGATTTTGGTAAGTAAGAGTGTAAATTACCAAACATTTCACAAGGACTCTACAGGAAAGTAATATTTCTGGAAATTAAAAAAAACAGTTTAGTACGGAGGCTGATGACAACTAATTGAGCCAGCTGGTAAAAGGCATATATGTCTATAACATTGATTAGTTCATTCCCGAACATACTGATGGCCCACGTGCTGCTCTGTAACTATTTGTAGGCCTAATGCCACTCAGACACTAGCAGACTCCACTCAATGTGAAAGCTAATATGCCACTTACCGTGGGTGATGTGACTTCAAGGAAGAACAGAATCCAGAAGGTAGAAAGGTAGTGTTCTAAGTGTTAGTTTCTAAAAAACATACAAAGGGACAGCAAAAATCCAGAGTCCAAGTTTGCAGGGTTTTTTTTTTCCTTAAATATTTTCTGCTCTCTCTATATCTCTAACCTTCTTCTTCACTCCTCATCTTGACCAATTCTTACTGGAATTATAATCTCTTTGATGAAGAGTGGTGTGTTAAAAGTAAATGGTAAGCGATAGCCAAAAATTGGAAATAAGTATCCATCAACAGATGAGTGATAAACAAAATTTACTATAGCCATACAATGGAATATTATTCAGCCACAAAGAGAAGTAAAGTTCAGGTACATGCCAGTACATGGAGGAGCCTTGAAAACATGTTGAATGAAATAAGCCAGGTACCAAAAAACAGATACTGCATGATCCCACTTTCACAAAGTATTTAAAAGAGGGAAATCCATGCAAAAGAGTATTAGTGGTTACCTGGGGCTGGGGGAAGGGTAGAATGGGGAGTGGCAAAAGTAAATAAATAAAAGTAAGAGAAAAATAAAAAATAAAAAAATAACCTCCCAACAAAGCAAATTCAGGGACCAGATGAATTCACTAGGGATTCTATCAGACATTCTTGATCTCTTCCATACAGTCAATGTAGAAACACTTTCTAATTCATTCTGTTAAACTAGTATTACCCTGATACCAAAGTGACACAAAGATAAGAAAACTATACACCAATATCCCTCATGAATATAGATGAAAGAATCCTCAACAAAATACTAGCAAACCAAATCCCACAGCATGTTAAAGGATTTTACACCATGACAAAAAATAAGGAATATGAGTACCTAATTGAGACTATTCAACAGAGTAGAAAGTTGAAAATGGATGAGTTTAAAATGCAGTTTAGACCCACCCTACTGAACAATGTGGCACAAAGGCTTATATACTCAAGGCTGCATCGCTTTTTGGGAGCACACCTGAGTTGGCCTCCAAGAGTAAAGAGTAGTGCTCTAGTTGTAGAACGTTGTTACAGACAGTTGTGCTGTCTTTGATAATCATGAATTTCCTTTCCAGGCCAGTCGAATGGGGGTGGAGGCTGTAATTGCCCTTCTAGAAGCAACCCCAGAGACCCCGGCTTGTGTGGTTTCCCTGAGTGGAAACCACGCCATACGCCTGCCCCTGATGGAATGTGTGCAGATGGTGAGTGTTACATGCTGCCACTGGGTGGCCTGGTTCATTAACTGTGCTCAGAGGGCTATTGGTGGCAAGTGCTGCTTGTTAATAACTGAGCAGCAAGTCAGAGTGCTTTTGTGTAGTTTGTCTGTTGCTGGTTAGATGAACAGCGAGTTAAATGACTTTCATAAGAACATAAGTAGCTGCCCCCATGGGTGACAGAATTGGGCTTTGTGTTTTCACCCTTTGTGAAACCTAGACCATTTTGCTTTGCATTTCCATTTTTCTGAGTTACTGTCTATGTGACACTTTTAGTAGTAAAAAAATAAAAAAACAAACTCACTTCCATCAAGTCAGTCCCAACTCAGACTTGTACTGAGCGGACACTGGTGGCTTCTACCTCATCCCTGAACAGTGAGATACATGTCACCAATTGCAGGCATTTGGATGGAGCTGGTAACTGCTGGTCTAGTAGACTCAGCCCCTCCTTGGGTTTCTGAGGAAGTATCTCTATGGAAGTAGATTGCCCAGTCTTCCTTCCAAGGAGTGGCTGGTGGATTAGTAGGAGCCTTCTCTAAACATGAGTCTAATATATCAAAAATTAGAGTCCTCTGAGAGTTGTCGTGTGTTTATATGAACAAATCAAATAAGATTAAGGTAGCCACTACATACTAAATGCTATGGTTGTTGTTGTTGTTGTTATGTGCCATCGAGTCAGACCTGACTCATAGCTACCCTTCCATGGGTTTCCAAGGCAGTATCACTATGGAAGTAGATTGCCCCATCTTCCTTCCGAGGAGTGGCTGGTGGGTTTGAACCGCCAGCCTTCTGGTTGGCAGTCAAATGCCTTAGGCTCTAATGGTAGTGCAGAAAAATGTTTACTTATGTTTCATAAGGAATAAGGTGTGACATCGTCAAACTTCTCTATACTTTAGCCACTTCCTGTCTTCCTGTCTCCAAACTCACTCAAATCTGTAATGTGACAGTTGGATTGGCGAGTTCTGATAGTATTCTGAAGTGCACTCACTTCTGTAGCTATGGTGGGGGTATACAAATAGGCTTTAAAAATGCTTTTAGAATTTTCCGCTTGTTCATTGTATCAAGTGATGGTGGAGTTGCATTAGAAATAACTTACATGTTTTGTCTTTGTTTCAAAGTTTTCCAAGTTTATTCATGACCATCATTTTATGAAATCTTTCCAGTGACTCTAAAGTATATGTATTTTATATTACATACAGGGAAGTAGCTAGTAATTAAGTCAGGGGACTTGTTTAAGTTACCAACCTTAGGAACGATTTTCAAAAGCCTATGGAAGTGATTAAAGCTTTTACATGTGTGTGTATACGTGTCGGTGCATGTGTGTATATGTATAAAAGAGAAGGTTGGGGGCTGGGCAGAAAGAGAGAGAGAAGGCTTAAAAGGACTAGAACATTGACCTATGTTCAATGCATTTAATTTTAGCGTATTTCTTGTATCCAATATTTCTCTTTTAGTTTAGAAACAAAAATATGTTCAACATCATTTGGCTTGTCTTCAGATGACAATATAGGGATTTTATGATTAAAAGCTATAGTAAACCATTCACTGAGCATCTCTGACACAACAGGTGTTTCCTAAGGCCTTTACATGTTTTTAATAACCATAAATAGCTTTAAAAGCAGAGAGTATTTTTCTTATTTTACAGATGAGGAAATTAAAGTCCAGAAGGAAAAATGACTTGCCTAGAGCCTAAAGTTGGAAAAGAGTGGAGGCAGGATTTTAACTCAGGTTGTCGTCTCCAAATCCAAGTTCTCTGCCCAGCACTGTCCTGCTCTGCTGCCATGGTCTGCATGCATCTGGGACAGAGCCAAGCAGGGACCATATGCTTGCTGGTCTCCCCACTCCCAGCGAGGTTTTGCTTTTTTTTCACTAGATTCACACTGAGAATTTTTCAGAACCTTTGCTGAGAGATCTATTTGCTCTGGCTTTGCTGTCATGGAGTGAAATCCTTAAGATTTGAGACATGCTTTACATGGCTGTTCACGTCAGACTTGTACTGAGCAGCTTCTACCTCATCCCTCTGAGATACTTGTCACCAGTTGCAGGTATTTGGGTGGAGCTGGTAACTGTTTGTCTAGATTCTTTAATATTTAGGATACCAGGCTGGCCAAGGTCCAATTCCTAGGAGGAACCAGAAATGGAAAGACTAAGCTAGGTCTCCCTTCCCTCATCTCATCATTCATGGATATCCTAAACCTTGACATATTCTTTCCTTCATTATTTTTTTAAAGACCCAAGATGTGCAAAAGGCAATGGATGAAAGAAGATTTAAAGATGCTGTTCAACTTCGAGGAAGGTGAGTTATTTTGAAGAAAACTCTATTTTATTAGGAACATATGTTCTTCCAGTAACCAGTTGCTGTCGAGTCAACTTGAGTCATGACCCCATGTGTGTCAGAAAAGACTGGTGCTTCGTAGGGGTTTCAATGGCTGATTTTTCAGAAGTAGATCATCTGGACTTTCTTTGAGGCACCTTTGGGTGGATTCAAACCTCCAGCCTTTCGGTTAGCCACCAAGCACATTAACGTTTTACTAAGTATGTTAACTGTTACAACTACCCAGGGACTCTATATCTTCCTCAATCCTAGCTATTTTAAATGTACTTAGAAATGTGCTTTTCCTATTTCAGTATGAAAATTCAAAAATTAAGACAATAAGTAAGACATTGTTTCTGCAAGGTAAAGACCTTGATGGCTATTTAAAGAATAAAATATTTTTTATATGTGTATTTTTTTTTTAATTGGGGAGGCAGGGTAAAGGTTGTTCAGAACTTACTGAGATTATGAGGTGACCGTGTGTCTAATCTTTTGAAAAAGAAACTTATGAGCCGTAGTATAATGTCTTTTTCTCTTAGTTTATTTCTGTACTAGAAATATATAGCACAGTGGGTCTCCATGGAGGGTCCCCGCAGAATACAGTGTAATAGTCCTTCCTCTGTTTCTCTCTGATAGCTGATATACTGAACAAGCATTTGTGGACTGCCTGCTTCTAATAAAACTGTTCACTCTGGCTACTTCTGAGATGAGTTCTCCTATTTTGTCTAGTTTGGACAGTAAACTTCCATTCAAAAATCTCCTTCTGTTTTAGGAGCTTTGAGAGCAACCTGAATACCTATAAGCGGCTTTGTATCAAGCTTCCAGATTCACAGATTGTAAAGGTGAGTGGTCAGTGCAGCACAGGCATACTGCTCAGCAATGCCACACTTGTGGCTGTTGTCCAGAGAGCTTTTCTGCCCTCACATGGCCAGGCTTTTCCCTTTATTCAGGTCCCAGCTGCAGTGTCGTCTCTTGAGAGGTTTTTTTTTTCCCCCTGAAAGCTTTTATCTGAGCTCTTTATCGGACCTTTTTGACCATAGCCTTTGTCTTCATGTGAAATTATTTCAAATCTCTAATTTTCTGGAATTTGCACTCAGTTGTATGCTTCATAAGACTGAAACTTCTTGTCTTTTTGGTTCACCAGTGTAGCTTTAGGACTTGCCACGATGAAGGGTACTCTTGGGTATGCATATGTGCTTGAATAAATATACTGATCCAATGATGTGCTTCCTTTTGTTTTGCAGAGCAATTGTAATGTGGGTGTTATAAATGTGGGCGCCCCTGCAGCTGGGATGAATGCTGCCGTGCGTTCAGCTGTACGAGTGGGAATATCTGATGGCCATAGAATGCTTGCTATCTACGATGGCTTTGATGGATTTTACAAAGGTCAGGTGAGTATCACAGTTGGTACCAAGCTGAAGAATATCCTAAATCTGAGCCTCACAGGTGAATTGGTACCCCCAATAGACCAGTCCCCTAATTAAATGAGAAAATGACTCTAAATGCCTCCCAATTGTTAAAATTTATGATTCTTTAACATCATGACTATAAATGACAGTTTTTTTGAGGGACAGCTTCTACTTTTGAGTACCATCATAAGTTATGTTCTAGGCCTTGAAATAAGCTCAAAGTGTAACATATTTTCAAGGTTTTTTGAAAGTCAATATCAAGGCAGGGCCTCTGGAGTTTGATGGACAGGCTTCTAAGCCTGACTGTGCTTCTTATTACCTGTGTGCCCTTGGACAAATCACCAAATGTCTTCCTCTATTATATGAAATGAAAAAAATGATAAAATTTGCCTCTAAAGACAGTTGAAAGTTTATTACTGTAGGTAAAGTGCATAGCATCTATCAAACAGCAAGCACTCATTAAAAAATCTATATAAAAATAGTTAACATTCATTATTTATTATATATTGTTTGTAAAGTATTTATATTTATTAACCCATTCAAGTCTCACAATAAATCTGAAATGTAGCCCCATCATTCGTATGAGGGAAATGGGCTACAGAGACTTTCATTATCTTTACAAAGTCCATGTGATGTAGGATTTTTAAATATGATAGTAAGGCTACAAATCCTGTACTCTTAATCAAGTGCTGTATTGGTTGAAATTATTTATTCGTTCTGTTATTTAACAAATAATTATTGACTTCTTCATAAATGATCCTTATTAAATTAAGTAACTTTATTATATTAAATTCGTGAAGAAAGCAACAAAATTCCCTTACTTCACGGAACTTAGATTTTAGAAAGGGAGATGTCAATAAGTCCAAATAAATAAAGCAGAATATTTAGTATGTTAGAGAGTGGTAAGTATGAAATGGACACAAAGAAGGGGTTATAGGAAGTGCGGCAAATGTTTGCATGAAGATTCTAAAGATGAATGTTGTTGAGAAGGTGGTCTCTGAGTAAAGACTTGAAGAGGTTGGCAAGTGACTCATGGCAAGTGAGTGGGGAGGATTGCTATGTTCAAAGCCTGGTGAGGGGCTTCTGTGACTGTGGCAGAGAGTGTGAGAGGGAGGTCAAAGAAGAAAAGGACAAAAAGGAAATGAAGGGTAGATTATTTAGGGACTTACAGAGAGCTCTGGTGGCATAGGGCCTAAGGCTTTTGACTGCTAACCAGAAGGCTGGCGGTTCAAATCCACCAACCACTCCTCAGGAGGAAGATTGGAATCTACTTCTGTAAAGATACTACCTTGGAAACCCAAGGAGGGGTCTCTATGAGTTTAATCGACTTGATGGCAGTGAGTTTACAGGTTATTGTAAGGAATTTGGCCTTTATTCTGCAAGAATTTTGAGCATGGGAATGGCACTTCTCTTTTTCACAAGATCATTCTGATTTTAATTAAAGGAAGAAGAAGGAAACAGAGAGGCTAGTTGGGAAGCTTTTGTAATAATCTAAGCAAGAGATGATAGCAGCTTGGTCCATACTGGTAGCAGTGGAGATGGCAAGAACTAATGAATAGTCTAAATGTGTTTTGAAGATAGAATCAATATAATTTGCTGACTAAACATATGTGGGCATGATAAAAAGGAGTCAACAATTATTCCATTTCTGACTTGAGCAAATGGCAGGGTAGAATTATTTATTAAGATGGGGAAAATTTGAGAGGTGCTGGCTTGAGAAGAAATAGTCAAGAGCTCAGAAACAGGGATGTTAAATTTAAGATACCTGTTACATATCCAGTTGGAGGTGTACAAGAAAACAGGTAAATATTTTGTCCTGGTGTTCTTCAAGAGATGTGTTCTAAAGAAATGAATTTGGTTAACATTGACATACAGATGGTATTTAAAACTATGAAACCAGATGAAATCACTGAGGAAATGGTTGTAGGTGGACAAGAAAGGTGCCCAAAGGCTGAGTCCTGGGTTGGGAGCATTCCATTATTAGGAGATCAAGGGAGAAGAAGAGAAACCAGCATAGGAGGAGTGATGGGCAGAGAGGTAGGATGGAAACACCCAATTGCCATTCCTTAAAGAGATGCTCTGCGAGAAACACTGATCGTCCAGATTCTCTCACTTTCCATTCTGGCCAGTGTGGAAAAGTTCTGTCTTACTTTCCTTAGCATAATATTTTCAAGGTTCATCTATGTTGTAGCAGGTATCAGAACTTCATTTCTCTTCATGGCTAAATAATATTCTGTGTACGTGTGTGTGTGTGTGTATTTTATTTATCCATTCATCTGTTGATGGGTCTTAAGTTGCTTCCACCTTTTGTATATTGTGAATAATACAACAATAAACAATGGTTTACATGTGTCCTTTTGAGTTGCTGCTTTCAATTATATGTTTCACTGTCAGGTGCCATTGAGTTGTTTCTGACTTGTAGAGACCCTACAAACAACAGAACAAAACACTGCCTAGTCTGGTGACATCCTCACAATCTTTGCCGTGTTTGAGACCATTGTTCTAGCCACTGCGTTGATCTATCTTCTTGAGGCTTTTGCTCTTTTTCTCAGACCCTCTCTACTTTACCAAGCAAGATGATCTTCTTCAGGGACTGGTCCCTCCTTATAACATCTCTAAAGTATGTGAGATGAATTTTCACCATCCTCACTCCTAAGGAGTAATCAATCTGACTGTACTTCTTCCAAGACAGATTTATTTGTTCCTTTGATAGTTTACTTAATATTTTTTGACAACACTGTACTTTAAATGGATTAATTACTCTTAAGTCTTCATTATTCATTGTTCAGCTTTCATATGCCTATGAGGTGATTGAAAATGCCATAGCTTGGGTCCAAAATTAACTTGATTACATCTGTGGAAAGAAACAATGAAAAACGCAGTATCATCAGTCAGACCAAAGCTAGGGGCCAGCTCTGGAACTAACAATCAGTTGTTCATATGCACGTTCAAGTTAAAGCTGAGGAAAATTAAAATACGTCCATGAGAGCCAAAGAACATCCTTGAGTAAAACCCACCTGAATTAAGAGACCATCTCAAGAACAGTTTTAACACATTGAACACTAATGACTACAGGTGAGTTGTGGGATGACATCAAGAACATTTAGACATGGGGAAGGCAAAACGATAATTAAAAAGACAGGACAGAAAGAAAAGACAAAAATGGATGTTGGAAGAGACTCTGAAATTTTCTCTTGAGAGCAGCTAAAGTGAATGGAAAAAATGATGATGTCAAAGAGATAAACAGAAGATTTGAAAGAGCAGCTCAGGAAGACAGAGTAAAGCATTATAATGAAATATGCAAAGACATGGACTTAGAAAACCAAAAGGGAAGAAAATGCCAGGCATTTCTCATGCTGAAAGAATAAAGGAAATATTCAAGCCTTGAGTTGCAATATTGAAGAATTCTATGGGCAAGATGTTGAAAGATGCAGGAACCAATCAAAGAAAATGAAAGGAATACACAGAGTCACTGTACCAAAAGAATTGATCAACTTTCAGCCATTTCATGATGTACTGAAGGAAGAACCAATGATATTGAAGGAAGAAATCCAAGCCACACTGAAGGCGTTGGTGAAAAACAGTGCTCCAGGAATTGACAAAATAGCAACTGAGATGTTTCAACATGCAGGTGCAGCGCTTGAAGTGATCACTTGTCTATGTCAAGAAAATTTGGAAGATACCTACCTGGCCAACTGACTGGAAAAGGTCCATATTTGTGCCCTTATCAAATGATGTCATTAATATCACACACAAGTAAAATTTTGCTGAAGATAATTCAAAAATGGTTGCACCAGTACATCAACAAGGAACTGCCAGAAATTCAAATAGGATTCAGAAGAGAACATGGAACAAAGAATATCATTTTGATGTCAGGTGAATCTTGGCTGATAGCAGAGAATACCAGAAAGATGTTTACCTGTGTTATATTGACTATATGAAGGCATTTGACTATGTGTATCATAACAAATTATGGATAACATTGTGAAAAATGGGCGTACCAAACACTTAATTGTGCTCATGAGGAACCAGTACATAGACAAAGAGAGAGTTGTTCAAAAAGAACAAGGGGATACTGCATGGTTTTAAATCAAGAAAGGTGTGCATCAGGGTTGTATCCTTTCATCATACTTATTCAATCTATACTGAGCATATAATCCAAGAAGCTGGACTATATGACGAAGAGCACAGCATCAGGATTGGACAAAGGCTCATTAACACTGCAGTATGAAGGTGACACAATCTTGGCTTGCTGAAAGAGAAGAGGACTTAAAGCACTTACTGATAAAAATCAAAGATTATAGCCTTTAGTATGGATGATATCTCAATATAAAGAAAACAAAAATCCTCCCACTGACCAATAAGCAAAATCAATGTTTATTTTGAAAATCTGAAATTGTCAAGGATTTCATTTTAATAAACCAAAGCAAACTAAACTCACTGCCATTGAGTCTATTTTGACTCATAGTGACCCACTTTGGCTTTCTGAGGCAGTAAATCTTTATGGAAGTAGATTTTCCAGTCTTCCTTCTGTGGAGGGGCCGGTGGGTTTGAGCCACCAGGCTTCTGGTTAGCAGTCAGATGCCTTAGGCACTTCACCACAATAGGATCCATAATCAACACATGAAAGCAGCAGTCAACAAATCAAAGGACATGTTTCATTAGGTTGCAAAAGACTGTTCAATTCTGTAGTTTATATATATATATATATATATATAATAAGCTTAATTTGCTTGGCCATTCATCTAAATTTTTAAATGTCTTTAGTTTTTAAAAGTTTTCTTTTAATCCTATCAATTTTAAAATCTGTAGTTTTAATTTTATTTTCCAATGACAGAATTTGTCCAGTTAACCTGTCCATTTTATATATATAGCCAGGGAAATATGATCAGTTCCAGAAGACAAGGCAGGGATCTTCCTAGTAGGCAATGAGAATTTAGTTCCATTGGTGTTCTTAATTAATTGATAAATCTTAGAAGCCAGTTTCATGTCTGACCTCATTCAGCACTGCTATGAAAACAGTTTACTAACTCTTCCCATATCCTTATAGGAATGCAGCCTAATTAGGGTACAGAAACCTGAGTTATTTTAAACTCTTTCTAATTCCATTTTCTTTTTTTGCTTTAGCTGTCTCATTATGTCTTTGCACATTAGATAAAAGAAATCGGTTGGACAGATGTTGGAGGTTGGACCGGCCAAGGAGGATCGATTCTTGGGACAAAACGGTAATTTCCACACTTTGACTCCCCGAAATAAAGGAAGCAGGAAATGCCATATTGTATCAGTGAACATCTGGATATAGATTCTGACTCCTTTGATTTCCTATGAATAAATTCCTAAAGGAAATGATACTTGGTCAATTACCTGCCCCTACTCTAGGAAAGATCTGGGTCATGCTTTAAGGAGGTGGGTCTGAGACATGCCATTGAAAGGCATGCTGGTGATGAGCACAAGGACCTGAAAAGAGAGAAGGAAGATAATATGTGAAGTATTTTCTCTAATAATCCCTTATTTCTATTTATCTGAAGACCAAAATGGTGAGGGGAAAAAAAAAAAAAAAAAAAAAAAACTCATTCTAGGTAATATAAATAAGTAATCTCATTGAACTATAGTAATCATACTATTTAAAAAAGGATTAAAACATCATCCCTAATTGGTTAGATTGATAGAACAATAGAACTGAGTGGCACTGTTACTTGAGGCTCAGATTTCCACAGCCAAAGAAGAAATTACCTGGGTAATTACAGCATAAAAAATATTTGTTCTGAATTGTAATAAGCTTCTGTTTTCTAGCATAACCATAGTTAGAATATTGTAACAAGACAACAGTATTTAATTTAAATTGAACTTGAGTCTTGTTTAAAATATTTTATTATATTTGAGATAAAAGTATTAACATCAGTCATTATTATATATCACATTTTAATATGAAAGAAAATCATTTTTATGTGTGTGTAAAGTTAATATTTGATTCCATATAAATGGCAGCTTATTGTACCCAAGAAATTGTCCCAACCCTTTGTTCTGCTTTGGGCTCCAGGGCTCCCGATACCTTCCAGTTGCTGGCAGGAGTCCTGAAGATCTCTGAGAGGTTCTCTAGAGCTATTTGATGTCTAGTCTCACCAAGAGTCCAGTTTATTAGTGTCTTGGACTGCAAAGCTGTATTTAGAAGTAAAGTTACCTGTTCAGTGTGTTTCATGAATCTCCTCAGACTGACTGATTTCCCTGTAGTAGTCTTTGCTGTAGAATGAGTCTGGGGCTGCTCTTCTTGAGTTAGCTAGACATGATTAGATAGGTAGCTTTGGCAACATTCTGAGGTAAGTTAACAAGCTCCTCATTAGAAAACTGGGAAGCATTTTGTAATTAGCTCTCAAGTTCTTTTCTCTTCTCTGATTTGCCATGCCTGGATTTTTTTGTTCTACAGTTTCTTATAAATCTAAGAAAAGTATGCTTTTTTCCTTTCATAAGCATAAAAGAAAAATTTAGGGGAGATGGTTGGGTGGGAAGTTGAGACTGGAAATAGCCAAATATTGTCTGGTAATCTACTTGTTAATTATATCATCTGAAATAGATGTTAAAATGGGAGAATAGTAAGTATGAATGGATGTGATTTAAAATGAGACCAGATTGGATAATGTGTACATAAGTTATTTGAAAACTATATTTCTACTTGAACAATTTATTTTATTTAAAATTACAAGCTATTATGCTTATTTATTTATTTTTTTTCTAATGAGACGGTAGAAATCTCTTTAAGTCAAACTCTTTTTTATTGCTGTCTGCTATTGCGTGCTTTGACTCATAGTGATCCTAAAGGGCAGAGTAGAACTGCCCCAGGCTCCTAGACAGCTGGAAAGTTTTTTTTCCACCTTTCTGTTGACAATACCCTCTTTTGGTATTTGATTTCTGGCCACAGCTGCCTTGTGTAGTTATTTCCCAACATAATGCTACTCATATTGTTGTCCACTAAACCCAATGGAATGACAAAGGCGGATAAAATTCCACTGCTTCTTAATGCAATGTGTGGTTTGGTCATGAAGGAGGGAGAGGAGGCCCGAGGGAGTATAGTAGCTTCACTGAGTTTGTTTGCATGATATATATCATCAAAATTGTGAAGCTTGTCAGCATCTGACCTCACCTCTTGATTTAACTATTTTTAGTATTCTACCTGGAAAGCATTTGAAGGAGATTGCTGCACAGATGCGTGCTCATAATATCAACGCTCTATTGATTATTGGTGGATTTGAGGTATATTATTGTTTCTCTATTAACCTGCTAGTTAGTTAGCTTTGTCAGAATAAATAATTACCCTGTGTTGGCTTTAAGCAAGCACAGTACTTGTTTGCTGTGCTTCGTGATTTGGGTTTATAGATTTCCAGGCCCAGTTGCCACTAAATTATTATGAGTGCAGAAGAATAAAAGAATGGCAAGATACACTATAAGATTTATCTAGTTCCAATAAAGCAACTTTAACTGGGAAGTAAAAACTTGATTCCTTAACTCCGATTCATCTGTTTAGCAAGCTTTGAGGTATTTCAAGTCTATGGAAATAATTTTATCTCTTGGATTTGAAGTCCATTGCCTATTCAAGAGAAAAGTATTTATATAGCAAAAATTTTCAAATCACATATTGGACTGTGGTTCTTGATTTGTCTATTCTGTGATAATCAGTCCCATGATAAACTTTGGATTTATTTAAAGAAAATGGAAGAACCTCAAATAATCAGACACATCCCAATAAGACATTTAGTCTTGTTTGTAAATGATAATGTCCTGTATTATCCTTTTGTGTTTAAAAAATTGCTTACCCTTGTCTTTGGTCTTAATGGCTTTTTGTGTTGATTTTTTAGTGGCTCCCTGGTATCCCCATACGTGCATTGTGTGCTGTAGTAGAAGTGGCTCTCGCTGTGGCTCTCCCATGCCATTTTAATTCCACTGATGTCCCTTTGTTCCTCTTCCTCTCCTTCCTTGTCCCCACAATTGAACACACTTACCTGACAGGCCTACCTGGGACTGCTAGAACTGTCAGCTGCCCGGGAGACACATGAGGAGTTCTGTGTTCCTATGATTATGGTTCCTGCTACTGTCTCCAACAATGTCCCCGGTTCAGATTTCAGCATTGGTGCAGACACTGCTCTGAACACTATCACTGACGTAAGTCTGTGTGTACCCAGCAAAGTAGACACGCTGTGCTAACAGTGAGGATTGCTATGCCGCTCTTTTATGTACCAGTGTACTAGAAACCCACTTTGAATGCTGGGATACAAATACCATGAGGGAAGTGTTTTGTTTTGTTTCTCCTCAGGAAAAGTAAAAAATGTTCTTTAGGCTCTGAAAATCTTTCTACTTCCTCAAATTTTTACCATCTCTGTCTCTACATCATTGTCAGGATGATGTTTCACTATTAAGATTCATTCAGTGACAGTGAACATTTGGAGACTAGAAATAATAGGATTATAATTTTTTGTGATTTGGAAAGTCATTTAAATTAGTTTTTATTTGTTTGTTTTGCTAAGCCTATAACATCTTGCAAATCCTGGGCCAAGGACCTACTTAATGTGTAAGACTGAAAGAGAATATTTTGTCATTTTGTTAATCCACCATCTGCATTCTTTATACTGATTGTGGACACATTAACATCATTTTCTCCTTTGCAAATTGAGGATATTGCATCTAAAATAGTATTGATGCCGTTTTTGACTTATTGCCGAAACCAAAACAAAAACTGCTGTTGAGTCAGACCTGACTCTTAGCGAACCCTCCTTGGGTTTCCAAGGCAGTATCACTACGGAAGTAGTTCGCCCAACCTTTCTTCTGAGGAGTGATGGGTTTGAACCACCAACCTTCTGGTTAGCAGTCAAATGCCTTAGGCACTACACCACCAGAGCTCCCATTCTTAATATACTATTTGTAAATCACATTTGGTAATTTACATGGGAGTTTGAAGCCCAATATCTAACAGTGTTTTTCCTATATATTTTATTTTATGTTTCATATATATTATATTTTATTGGAGGTCTGAAATTTTTCAGTAATTCTCATTTTCCTTATTAGACCTAGCTCTTAGGAAAGTTTTTAATTTTTTTTCTTAAACTTTTGACATCAACTTTATTTCTAGTACTGGTAAATAAAACATAATAAAGCTTTTACAATAAAATTCAAATGGTAAGTAATGCTTAGCACTGTGTCCTGCTTTTCTGAACTTTCTAAACTTTCTATTTCTTTACTAAATAAAACTACCCATTGTTTCATATGTTGACTGGCACCAGAAGCTGTATTTATTTACAGTCACTAACCTCTTAATTAGTAGTTAGTTGCTTGTGCTTTCTTGGTGACTTATTTCCTCCCTTTGCTGCATTCTGATCTGACTAATTCAGGCTCTTGATTGAGCTTTGCATTGTGAATTTAAAGATCCAGTCTATCACCAAATAAATGTCATCCTTTTTTTTTTTTTTTAACCTGCTTTAGCAATATTTATTTACTTAAGTTGAACTTGCAGTACAAGCAATGGAACATTTCTTTTTTCCTAATTGTTGCCTAATTAGAACCCATTGCAGGGGGAATGGGTGGAGAATATGAAAGTTGTTCATTTGCAGTTAATGGGAGCTTTTGCAGATACAAGTAAAGGTTGGTGTTTATCTCCTTACGGTATTTTGATGTACGCTTTCAGTCACAAAGGAAAGGTTTTCCCACTTTATAAATTCCAGGCAGCTCTGCTTTTATAAAGAATTTTCTTTTCTTTTCCATTTTATAAATATGTAAAATAAGTATATGTATATTATAGAAAATTTGGAAACCAAAATATATAGGAAAAACCAATTATACTTAGTTATAATTGAGTATATGAATCGATATCAACTAGTTGCCATCCAGTTGACTCGAACTCATAGTGACCCTATAGGACATAGTAGAATTGCCCCCATAGAGTTTCTAAGGCTATAAATCTTTATAGAAGCAGACTGCCTCATCTTTCTCCTGTGGAGTAGCTGGTAGGTTTGAACTGCTGACTTTTGGGTTAGAATCCCTTTTACTTCCCTTTAAAGAGGGATTTTGTGGTTTATTATGAGATTTAAATTTTTTTTATTTTTTTTTTTTTAATATTTTGATTTTCTCAAAGCTAAGTTAACTCAGTATAATGTATGAGGGGGAAAAAAAGAACAAGTAAGTGTTTTGTCATTCATGATGGCTTCAGGGACAAATCCTCCATGGTAAGTAGATATGTGTATGTGATCATAACTATCTTTTGTTTAAGGATCTAAGGACTTAGGTTGTCTTGTTGATGGCATAGTTCTAATCTTGACATTGGAATGTCATGAAAGGCATTTTTTTGAAACCATATTGGTGAGGATAATTTAGGTAAGTCTTGTCATGGCCAGCACTGTATGTATTCAGTAACCAGGTGAGGAATAAGAAAACAGATCAGAATCCTTTTGTGTATCCTGAAGGTATAGGAACCATGTATGAACATGGTGTGTTGAAATTGCTGTTTCTTCCATTGTTATGTTCATTAAAGCCAAAATGAAGTTGGATCATCTTTAGTAGGTTTTGGATTTGAGTCTGAATTAGTATAGGCTGGCAGTGGGGAAATGGAATAGTGTCATCTCAGGAAATGTACTGGGAGAGAAGGGACACTGAGGAATGTGAAAGTGACATTTTATGTAGCAGTGTCACTCCAGCCTCTGGGCATCTTGGAACAGGGTTGTTCATGGTGCCTTCTGATAGCATTATCAGATCAGCAAAGCCCCTTCAGGAGCTGCAGACAGACATTGAGTTTAACATCAGATCTTCTGTCTTAATCAGGAGCTTAAAACAGGTGTCACAAGCAGGTTAGCCTTCAGGCCTTAGGCTAAAGGCTAAAGGCCAGAGGCAACTTCTTATAATCTTATTTCCTGAATCTCTATTTATTGAATTATAACCTACTTGGCCTCTTGAAGAATTTAGGCTTACAATCCTTGCTTTTTTTCCCAGTTTATTTTCTAGTATGCACTGGTTCCTGTTCAGATAGATAGGTGGTTCTCAACTGAGGGAAATTTTGCCCCCAGGGTATTTATCAATGTCTAGGGCATTTTTAGTGGTTAGAACAGGAGGGGGCATTGCTATTGGCATCTAGTGAGTAGAGGCTACAGATATTGCTAGCCATTCTGCAGTACATAGTGCCTGTTAACCCGTTGCTGCCAAATTGATTCTGACTCATAGCAACTCTGTAAGACAGATTACAGCTGCTCCATAGGGTATCCAAAACTACAAATCTTTATAAAAGCAAGTTGCCACATCTTTCTCCTGCGTGAGTGGCTGATGACTTTGAACCACAGACCTTTTGGTTAACAGCAGAGTGCTTTAACCACTGTACCACAGGGTCCTTAATGACAGCTCCCCGTACCAAAAATTATCCGACCTAAAATGTCAACAGTGCTGAATTAGTCTCACATTACTAACTATCAAGTTTTTTTAATCATTGTGATCACAAATCATTTCCTTGTTACAAGCGTTTATATTGGGAGCTCTGGTGGCATAGTGCCTGAGGCATTTGATTTCTAACCAGAAGGCCGGCGGTTCAAACACATTGGCCACTTCTTGGAAGGAAGATTGGACAGTCTATTTCCATGGTGATACTGCCTCAGAAACCCAAGGAGGGGTCGCTATGAGTCTGATCCAAGTTGATAGCAGTGAGTTTGGTTTGTGTTTGAGCATTTAAATTTAGCTTACACACATATCTCTCAAATGAGTTTTTGTGCAAGATGCCTTTCTCACTGTATGCATTCTAATGGTGTATTAGTCTTCTGAGGAAGAGCAAAATTTAATGAAATAGTTCAAAACAAGAGTTTAGAAATTTCTCACAATATGGCAGTGGGGTTTTTCAAATGGGCTACATTTTATTCAAAAATGGCACACTATGTTGTTCTAATCAGAAAGGCAGCTAATGTGTGCTGAGTTAGAAGCTACAGTTGAGGGCCATGAAGGTGTCAGGGATTATAAGCTTTGCTAATGATAGTCCTAGATTATTATAAAAGGGAAACGGAACACCATAATTATTTCCCTAAAAATCTACACAGTCTCTTTTCTCAGTGAAGATAACTAAGCATTTCCAGGGCAGCTAACTGATGTTTTAAACTATGTACACTACACTTGGAGCCAAAAGCAGGAGAACTAAATGTTGCTTTTCCCACAAGACCTAGAGACAAAGACTTTTTTTTTTGTCTTCAGAGTTTTATACTTCATTCCTACACAAAGGGTTGCCCTGATGTTTTCCACTCATCTTATTGTAAATAGAAGGGAGGAAAAAAAAAAAAAAAAGAGGTACATTGGAGAACAGAAGATAAAATCTTTTTGTATCGTTAACTTGTTGTTGTTGAGTTAGTTCCTACTTATGGTGACCCCATATGTTAGAGATTAGAACTGCTTCATAGGCTTTTCTTAGTTGTGATCTTTACAGAAGTAGATTGCCAGACAGTTTGTCTGCAGTGCCTCTGGGTGGGTTTGAGCTATCAACCTTTAGGTTAATAGTTGAGTGCAAGCCGTTTGTGATACACAGAAACCTTACAAACATTATTAAAGATTTCATACTGGTGTTGAAGGTACTGATGCTTCCTCTGCTTACTGCTCCTTCTGCCTCAGCCCTTCCTTACATATCTCAGTTCCCATTTGGCCTGTGTCAAACATATTGGTCTTAGAGGGTTCTTTATTGTGCCCCTCTCACTTCTATTAAGAGCCTTTCCAAAAAGAAACAGCCTAACAGCCTTGTTTCCATACAGCCTGCTCTAGATATATTTCTGAGCTAGAGTATTCCACAATAAATGAAGCCAAACAAAAACCACACTCACTGCCATGGAGGCGGTTCCAACTCATAGTAAACCCTATTGGGTTTCCAAGGCTATAAATCTTTACAGAAGCATACTGCTCCATCTTTCTTCCATGGAGCAGCTGATGGGCTCGAACCACTAACCTTTCAGTTAGCAGCTAAATGCCCACCAGAGCTTCATATTCTGAAAATAACCTTTTTAGAAAAAGCAATGAGGAACCCATCAAATAGTGGTGTAGATATATCCAGACCATATATGCAGTATCAATGTGCACCCTCAAATGTGTCTGATTCTGAAATAAGTTGGTATAGCTAAGGAAGTCCTAAAATAAATAACCTGCCATATCCAAAGTCCAAACAGCACACCACCAATAAGATGATTAGGAGAGGGTAGGCTGCCTGTGCCCAGCTCTTGGTAGAGGTGTTGATGTTTTCATCCTGAGGGCTTGCGGTGACAGTTGTATTATTGGTGGTGAAGAAAACACTGCTTACACTTATTCCCGTGGATACTAAATGACTAACTTCTTATTTTTCTACTGACAAAGATGCAAATGTTTGTACTCTTGCAGGTCCACGATCCCTTGTCTAAAATCCTTGGGCCACATGTATTCTAGAACTCAAATTGTTTTGGATTGAAGAAAGGCAATGCACAACATGTGCTGTGTATTATATAAATAGCCCTGCCTTTGAGGCCTGGATCAGCACCCAGGATAAAAATGCTGACTGTTCTTTCAGCTAAATGCATGGATATTCACATTAAGCAGGAAAAACAAAGACTATCAATAGGTCAATTTTGCCAACAAATGGCTTATGAAAAATGTTACTGTTGGGAGCTTTTTGATTTAGGACTTGTGGATAAGTGGACCTATATTATATAACTATTTTGGTTAACACACTGACACAGATAATCAAAACCTCTTTCTGAGTGCTAAAGAACAGCTCCTCTTTCTGACATCAGAACCTAACAGTTTCACATTGGAATTCCAAGGCAATTAATTGGATTCTTGCTGAATGATCCTGATTTATATAAGAATTGAAAAGGGACGTGGAAAGAAAACTCCTTAAAGAAGGAAAATTGCATCTCATAAAAGACAGCCAATTGTTCAAGAGGTCACAGAGACATGCACCTAATGCCAAAGGGGTCCCTAGTGAACAGGCCACCTGGTAATTTCAAGTCTCAGTCTGTCTTACAGCAGCCACATGGTGGGCATGCTGTGTTTGCATGCCTGTATGCAGCCAGGATCTCCACTGCATGAGTGAAGTTGGCCATTTGATATAGCACTTAACAGACATTTGCTGTATGTCTCTGCAAGCCTACAGAAGTTACAAGATTGGCATTGCATTTAAACTTTGTAACCTAATTGGCTTTCCCCACATATCCTAAGATGCCAAGAAATGACCTTAGCTGTTTCATTTAATGACTAACCACATTGATGCCACCTCTGTTTCCTTCTTTGACTGCTACTTGCTTTGCTGTCTATGTGCTTTGCCTTTTACTCTGCTGCCTGTTATTCTTCTCTTAGTCAGAAGAGGCGCTTGCACCAATGTGACTTTCCCTGTTCCCTGCACCTAAATGCTAATCAGAAATTTCCTTTTGCTATATTGACTTGCATGAAACACAGAGCTTGCCACTGGAAGGTCATGTCCCTCCCTTTCACTTTCCTGGAACCACAGCCCAGATGCCTAGTGACTAATAAGTCAAATGCCAGGTATGCTTTGCTAATGACACCTGTACTGATGCTTCAGGCTTATCAGGGTGCTCAGATGATAGCTGAGGCCAGAAACAGCCATGAGGAGTTTTGCATTCCTATTTGCGTTCTGCCTGCTACTATTAGCAACAATGTGCCAGGCACAGAAGGAAGTATTGGTGCTGATACTGCCCTGAATGTCATTGCAGAGGTAAGAGAAGAGTATTTCCACTTGTGTTGTCTTAACTATGTTTCTTCTGCCCTATGATGAATTCCAATCGGTTGAACTCTAGAATCTAGGATTTCCTCCTAAAGTGGAAACTTGTAAAGGAAACCCATTTAGTCTTTTAGAATGAATGAATCAAATTTACTATTTCTCTCTCTCTCTCTCTTTTTACTACTAGCTTGACTTCGTATCTCATTTTCCATTGCAGGATATTTTTTTCTAGCTTTCCTATTTTATAGAGAGCCTGTCTTACCAACTTTAGAATTATATTAAATACAGTCTTTTGGATAATGTTTGTATACCGCCTAAATAAAAAACATAAATTACTCTGTAGATGAGCTGTCTGAGTCATATCTGATGAGGCTGTTTCTCTTGCCCAAAGATGAATTCACAGATAGGTGATGTCTTCGAGGAAGGTCACAATAACATGCAGAAGGGAATTTAGATGCTGAGTAAGTATGAAAGTACCAAGAAAGAGCAGTGCTGATCCATGTAAAAGTTGATCTGGGCCACTGCTTAGAACAGTCCCTTGTTGTGACTTGAAAGACTCCTTCTAGTAGGAAGGAGTGTTAGCAGCAGCATATTCCATCATTCCATTCGGTATCATGGAGATAAGTCTTTTGATTCAGCGGGCACTGGAGATGGTGTTGACATCTACATTCTAACAGGTGGTGGCCAAAGCTTCTCCTTGAACCCTCCCACGTAAGTGTTCAAGAAACAGTGGTAGGCCATCACAGTTCCTGACATGTTGCTGGGTCTGTGTGATTCATGAGTTGTACACTAGAACTTTTGGTAGCTCCAAAGGATTTTTTCTATGAGAAGTAGTCTTCCCCAACAGGGGAAAGAAAGGTATCTAAGCCTTTGGAGTCTTACCAATGACTAATGGTGCACATATTCTTCTAGAGGGGATGTTGCTGGTCTTTTGTTTTAGAGTGTTACCTCTTGGTTGACTCCCTAGCTTCCAGTGAAAAGTTACAGATCTGCTGGAAAGTTCCCTTAGTTAACCATGGTACAGAACCTTAGAAAGCAACAGTTCTTTGCCAGATTCTTTCATCTTCTGAGTTGAAAGAAAAGGCTTTCACTTGAGGCCTCAGTGTCTTACATCTTTATTTGCATCTGACTGTTGACTTCTTAAACTGATACATAAATCTTAAGTAGCTCTCTTATTTTCTTCCTTGCATTGCATCAGCAGGTAGAAAAACTATATCACTACATGCCCTATCTTCCTCTTGTGGAGCAGCTGGGTAGGTTTGAACTGCTGACCTGATTAGCAACCAAATACCTTACTCATTGCACCACCAGAGCTCCATAAAATAACCATCAGTCACTGACTTACGTTATATACTAGGCATTGCGGTAGGCCCCACGCTTACCTTTAATATCCCCACAGGGCATATATTATTATCTCTCATATACCATATTTTTATGCAAATAACACATGAGTTTCAGGTTTTCTGCCAACCATGCAACCCCTTCATGTGTTATTTTTCTTAAGCATTATATGAGTGACCACTTCATTTACGTGGGCAAGTTATTTCAAAAAAGTATGGTATTTACGCATCCTTTACCTCACAACACCAGCAGAAAGCAGATGTTATCTATATGATGAAGGTGTGAGCTTTGCTGAGCTCTGAGCTAATGGTCTGTGGCATTGCTACTGCTTCTTGTTGTGGCATTGATGCCTGCCTTCTCTGCTGGAATCCCTCCTGAACTACTGCCCAGCGCCTTTCTCAAACTGATCATCCATTCAAGTTTAATAGAAAATCAGCTATCCTTCACAGTTGTCACCTTAAAGTATTATCACAGACATGTGAACTTAACCTGTAGCTTGCTAATGGAGCAAGATTGTCTATGTTCCCACATGAAATCCCACTGGCTTTTTTCTCTATTAACACTGCAGTCAACTCCACATTTTCTTTTCACTTTTGATTTATATTAAAACAAGAAATAAATGTAGCAAAACTTAACAGTATTTGAAATGTAGCTGGCAGTTGTTTCTCATATGTAATCATTCCCAGAGAATTTTTTCTGAGAGTCATCTGTACACCGCTGGGGAGAACATTAACTTCTGACAGGGACATCAGCCATAATGAAAATGGAAGCGAGGGCAGCTTGTTTTGCCTGAATAGTTCAGCTCACAGCTGCAATCCCTGTGATGGTCATGGAGTATCAGCCTTTCTGCAATACCTGTCCTCCCACTCTGCTAGTTCTCCTACCTCCTTTCACCCCCAAATTAGGGAACCTCCACCTTGTGCCACCAGTGGGAGACAGGGTTGCACTTGAGACTGTCACTTTTTCACATATCAGTACTACTATTAGTAATTAAATGAGATATTTTATACAGCTGAAATCACTCATTGACTTTAGCAGAAACTGAGTCAGATACAGTCTAGGTCATGAGGAGAGATTGTTTAGGAAAGCTGTATTTAGTTAAGCAAAGGTTAATTGTTCTGATCCAGCTGTAACTGTCTTCATATATTTGGTACTGTAACAAAAGAGAGAGAGAGTAAAAACATAAAGACTAAATATATGGCTTTTGTTCAGCTGTCAAGTTGACTCAGGTTTTCTCTTTCCTTTAATCTTTTCCATTAACTAGCTGTTTGGATCAAAATTTAGATATACATGTTGTTGTTGTTGTTATGTGCCGTCAAGTCAAACCTGACTCATAGCGACCCCTCCTTGGGTTTCCGAGGCAGTATCACTACGGAAGTAGGATTGCCCAACCTTCCTTCCGAGGAGTGGCTGGTGGGTTTGAACCACCAGCCGTCTGGTTAGCAGGCAAGTGTCTTAGCCACTATGCTACCAGAGCTCCTAGATATACATACAAACATAAAATTTATCTTACACTACAGCTTCTTTCCCAATAACAGTAGTTTGCCATTAAGTGATTCTAATTTTATTCTTTGAATCAGTGACAGTAATTCTCCATTACAGTGGGCATGTTGAGGAGATGAAGATGAAAAATGACCCATGAAATTTGCACCTTTCTAGGAGAATGTGCCTATTACTAACATCCCTGCCATTTGCTTTCCAATAGCAGCACTTGAGGGACTTCTGTGGAACCTGCTCTATAATCATGTTCAGTTCCATCCCACAAAATTTCTCTAAAACAAAGACCACTTGATGAGTTTTGAATACTTGCATGCCATATAAAAGTATTCAATACAGTTATGAAAAGCCTTCAGAATTCTGTATCACAACCCTAGGAGTGTGCGTTCTTTAGATCCTTCCTAGTTTCCATTCCCCATCCCTGCATAAGCACAGAGAAAAAGAGAATTTGCTGTATCATTGCCTATTTCTTTTTCCCATTTCAGTTTCTAGAGAATGCAAAGCTATCCACCAACTAAAGAACATGTTAACTTTTTAAATAAATCAATCTAATTATTTTGAGAGAGTAAGAATCTACGATACTGGGTTATACATAGGGATCATTTCCATTGAACCTGTGTTTGTTAATCAAAATGGTCTTTAAAACTTAACTCCCAAAGACTCATGTAAAAATTTCGTAATGGGTATTATTATTATTATATTTTACAAGCCTTTTTCTTCTTCATCCAAAGGTTCATAACCCCCTAATCTCGCAAACCTACTGCCCTTTGCCTCCCCTGTTTGTAATTTCACTCTAGACTCAATACTACACAGACCAGTTACAGCATTCCCTCAGAATTTGGCCCTTAACTGGTTGATGAATAGGGAATGGGGATGACACCTGCATTTACTTCATTCATTTGACAGACGTTTATTGTATCCCTAGCTCTAGTAGCATAGTGCCTAAGGCACTTGACTGCTAACCAGAAGGCTGGCGGTTCAAATCCACCAGCCACTCCTTGGAAGAAGATGGGGCAATCTACTTCCATAGTGATACTGCCTTGGAAGCCCAAGGAGGGGTCGCTATAAGTCGGGTCCGACTTGACAGCACTTAACAACAATAACAACACTGTGCTGCAGGCAAGAGTTAGGAACTGATGATACCGCAGCAGCATAAGCCAAACCTGTGATGCCTACCCTCATGGGTATCAAATCAGATAATTATGCAAATCGTTGTAGAAAGAGAAATTGTAATAATTTCTATGAAGAAAAGACAAAATATTATGAGAGCATATAAGAAGATCTCTTTAGTCCTAGAGATCAGGTAAAATTTCCCTGAGAAAATGACACTTAACTCTGACTCCAAGTTAATGAGGCACAGAGGTGCTTGTGTTGGCTTCCTATTGCTGCTTTAACAAATTAGCATAAACTCGGTGCTTTAAAACAATATATACACCCTTACTCTCTTACTGTTCTGGAGGCCAGAAGTCCAAGATCAGTTTGACTGTTCTGAAATCAAGTTGTTGCAGGGCCACACTCTGACTCTATAAAAGAATCCTTTTCTTTTCTTTCTTTTCACTTCTAGAGCAGTATTCCATGCATGCCTTGGCTCCTGGCCCCTTCCTCCATCTTCAAAGCTAGTAGCAAAGCATCTTGCTTCTGCATCATGTTGCCTCCTGCCTCTGCATCTGATCTCCTCCACCTCTCTTGTATAAGGACATTTGTGATATTTGTGATTGCATTATCCACTCAGATCATCTCCCCATCCCCAAATCCTTAAGTTACTCACATCTGCAAAGTCTCTTACTCTGTAAGGAACATTCACAGGTTCCAGGATTAGGACCTGCATGTATTTGGTGGCCATCATTCGGCCACCTCAGCATGGAAAGAATATTCCAAGCAAAGAAAACAGTATGGGTGAAGGCCCTGAGAAGGAACAGGGTATGCCATGTTCTGGAAACCGGACGCTAGTAGAATGACAGAAGTGGAAGTTGCTGCAGGGAACAGGCAGAGGTGGGATAATGCAGGGCAGGTGTTCCATTCTTCTTCCTGAAGAAGATTAAGAAATTACTGAAGGGTTTTGAGCAGGAAGTGACTCTATCAGATCTATGTTTTCACAGATAACTCTCAGCTTTGTGGAGGACAGATCAGAAGGGTCCCAGAGTAGATGCTGAGAGCCTGGTTAGAGGCTTTGCAGCTGTCCTGAGAGAGGTAATGGATGACCACTTTGACTAGTGTAAAGGAGTGGAAATGCAATAAGTGAATTTTTCTAGTTTTTGTTTGTTTATTTTTTTCTTGAGCTTGGGACTTCAAGAGGGATGATGACAACACACGTAGCATTCTGGAACCAGATGGCTATCTTTCCAGAAGATTTCTTTGGATACTTTTGTCTAAAAAGCCACCATTCATCTTTGATTAGAGGTACCTGAAACACGGGTAACATTCAGGGGCAGATTGAATATTACCCAGATCCTGTAACACAGGGAATTTTTCTGAGGAAAATAAAATATTACCCTTATTCCCATTGGCTAAATGGGAGAATTGACTCTCTTATAAAATCAAAATTCACATTAGCTAACAGTTTAACATCCTGTGATGTCTTCTTTAGCAGGGATTCATTCAAAGAGCAAAGTAGAGTAACTGGCTTGAGTGATCATCTTTTCCCATTACGTTTTCTAGGTCCACTCTGCAGAATTGCTGATGAAGAGAGCAATGATAAGGTCCACAGTCATGCCCTCAAAGTGGAAGATGAGTCAGTTGATAGTAAATGTTAGGCTGATATGTATTAGTACTAACTCAGAAGCAACACCTTTGTATCTGCGTATACTATATCTGCACATTTAATGCTCATAACTGCATATTCAGGATAGAAATCGAGAGAGACTTATTGGAAGAAATAATATTTTCAATTACTTCATGGGAGGAAACTGAGGTACCCACAACTGAGAAAGGTCCTGCATTGGAATGATTAATATTCTTTATCTGTGATCAGACATGTGACCGCCTCAAACAGTCAGCCAGTGGGACCAAGCGTCGTGTGTTCATCATTGAGACCATGGGTGGCTACTGTGGTTACCTGGCCAACATGGGGGGCCTTGCAGCTGGAGCTGATGCAGCTTATATTTTTGAAGAACCATTTGATATCAGAGACCTGCAGGTATGTAATGTGAAGCAAACCTCTTGAATTCATTAGTGCTACTGTTTTATATTATGTATAGTTTTATTTTAAGGGGTGGAGATAATGTAAAATATACTGACTTTTGTGTATTTCAAATGATAACTCTCATTGAATCCCAGTGAAATTCCCTGATTCATTTACTTTAGTATTAGGAACTCTTTTGATGGGCGAGGAGCGATGAGTTAGGATTGTATGAACACATGGCTCAGGATACCTTTTGTTCTTTCCACTTAAGCTTGTAACTTTTTTTGTTGGTGGTGGTCTGTTTAATAAACTGTTTAGTCTATCAAGTAATTAATTTTTTTCTTACATAAAGAATAAGCCATTTAAATATATTTGTTTGTTTTCTGGGAACTTTAAATAATCAATACTTTAGTCGATTGGAAGCAAACCCTTTGTATCTGTATACACTACACAGAAAACAATCTTTATATATTATATAGAAAACAAGTGGCTATGTAGTTTCTCTTGGGCTTTCTGAAATCTTTAAAACAATTCCAGACATCTGAAGTCTTTTTGCATCTGAGTTTGGGAATATTTGCAATAGTTGGAAAGCATCTTCTACTGGAACACTTTGTTACCTGCCAAAGGAAGCAGTTACTTTCCATTGTGTAATGCCAAATTTAATTAGAGAATGAAAATGAGACAGCAACTGAGGTGACTAGAGCTGTTGGGGACAGAAAAGTGTGTTTAACTCTGTATCTGTGCTGTAGGTTGTAGAGAAGAAGATGTAAGCATGTTTGCCAATTGAAAATAAAACAGAAGCCATTTAGCTCTGGCTATTCCTGTGACATGCTTCTTTTAAATATTATGATTGCTGATGCCTGTGAGGGATCTGTTTTCTTCTAAGCAGACAGAAGTATTGTAGAGGAGAAACCCTGAGACTTCTTGGAGTCCTCTAGTGTTTTTAGGTTAAGAGTTCATTCAGCTGAGCCCAATTTTGGGTTGGGTTATCCTTTCTGGACCTACCTCACCAGCTCAGATTATGATGATCAGAGCTTCTATCACATTGCCAGGCAGGAGGAAGGAAGACCACGAAATTTTGAGGGCACCCAAGATTCCATCCAAAGCAAGTAAAGGAAGAGGGGGTATCTAGAAGAGCTATCCTTCATCTGTCTTTGCCAGCCTCACCCTTAACTAATTAGTCATGAATTGAGAGTCAGGAAACCTTGAGTTATTACCAGTATTTTCCAGTTCCATCCTTGCTCTTGTGACACCTGATTCAGACTGGCATCATTTGATTCAGGTTTGCATTTCATAATGTTGATAAATTAGTAAGCCCTTTCCAAGAGGACAGGAATTAGCAAATAAAATATAACTTTTGAAAAGTTATGATTTTATGTTGTCTCTTTCCACCCAAAATAAATCAAGTGAAGAGGTAATGTTTTTCTTACCTGTAACATGGAAACTTGGACTATGAATTTCTTCACTTTGTTTCATTAAATTTTTCTGCTTAAAAGATAATGCCTTACCAGCACTAATTATAGCTCTTGGCACATAGAGAGATGTTTAATAAATGTAATTATTGCTGAGATTTGATTATATGGAAGTACCTCCATTTTCAAAAGATAAGTTATCAGAAAATACTTCATTTTTTTGTCATACTCCTAAGAAACTGATACAAGAAAATTTGTGCATAAAATTCTGTAACTTTTTCTCAGAAAATACTCATTAGGCAGTTACATGAAATTCTATCTAAAGTAATTTAACAGGTAGTTATTTTCCTATGAGAGCACAGAGATAGAAAATATTATCATGAAAATAATATACCAAGTAGCAAGAGATGAATATATAAGCATTAGGTTAGGGCACAGAGTAAATACATTCATGTTGTAAGAGGGAAATCTATTTATTTTGGAAAGCGTTTCTCATGAATGTTGTGGGTTCATTGACTAAGTCAATATATCCAATAAAGTAGCTTCCCTGCGCCTATCGTACATTGCATCATCTTGTTTCCTTATCATTACTGGCACATTTATGCTCCCTGATATATTCTTGTTTATTTGTGTATTGTCCACTGTCACGAAATATAAGAGCTGCTGCTATATTCTAGCACTTACAATCATGCAGTACTTGGCAAAGTAGGTTTTTTGTTTGTTTGTTTGATTAACAAAACACTCTTTCCTAGTCCAACGTGGAGCACCTGACGGAGAAAATGAAGACCACCATTCAGAGGGGTCTTGTGCTCAGGTAAAGGGAATGTATTTCTAATTTTACTTCAATGTTAGACCTGGATTGTTAGAATCTATTTTAAGATGTGAAATCTAATAAGCAATCATTCATTTGCTAACTGATTCTTATGATTACAGGGAAATTAGCATAAAAGTTGAGTAATTTTACAGTATATTAAAAACTTAATATGTAATATATACTGTACAATTTAAATAATTAAAGGGTGATTTTTAAAAATATTTTATTTTAGCTTTCAAGTCTATTGTTAGGAGCTCTGGTGGCATAGTGCCTAAGACATTTGACTACTAACCAGCAGGCTGGCGGTTCAAACCCACCAGCCACTCCTTGGGAAGAAGATTGGGCAATCTACTTCCGTAGTGATACTGCCTTGGAAACCTATTGTTTTTTCTAAGATATCTCCAATCATTTCTCTAAACTTTATAAATAAAGAAGAAACTATGTAGAGTCACATAAAGGGGCCAGAGGAACACAGAGGGCCCACCTAACTCTGTCAGAAAACAAGTGGCCTTTCCATAAGAGCTGAATGATCTGTGCTCTTCCAGGCAGTCAGCCAAACTATTTGGGCAGGAAACATCAGAAAAACCCTAAGCTGTGTTTTTTGATGAACAAATGACTATTTCCTCTTCTATTTAGAAATGAGAACTGCAATGAAAATTATACCACTGATTTCATTTGCCAGCTTTATTCAGAAGAAGGAAAAGGAGTATTTGATTGTAGAAAGAACGTGCTGGGTCACATGCAGCAGGTAAAGTCACTGCTGTCTTATTGTTACTAACTGCTGCCAAGCCAGTACTGACTCATGGCAACCCTGTGTACAATGGGATCAGTCCATTGTCTGATCCTAGGGTTTTCATTGGCTGATTTTGGGAAGTTGATTGCCAGAACTTTTCTTCCTAATCCATCCTATTCTGGAAGCTTAGCTGACACCTGTTCAGCATCCTAGCAACACTTAAGCCTCCAGTGATAGACAAGTGGTGTCTGTGCATAAGGTGTGCTGTCTGGGAAGAGAACCCAGTTCTCTCACATGGAAGATGGGAGTTCTCCCTCTGAACTACCTCTGTTCCCTATGCCAGCATTAATCCATAAAAAACTCACTGAGGGTTACATACAAAGCAGTAAATGAAGCTGATATTGTATAATTTTTTTAGATTGATGTCTTAGCCATTTTGAAAAAAATTGTGTATATATAAGTAATCTTAAAATGATTGAAAACAACATTTGAACTATGCTTTAGATCCACTTAAAAGTCATACCAAATATCACTACAGTTTGTAACTCTTTCAGTTGTTTGTGATATTTGGATGTAGGGGGATTTTGAAGAAAACTCTCAAGTTTCATATAAATAGTGTCACCAGTTAATTGGAAAAATTTATTCAAATTAAATACTTCATCAAGGTTGATACTGAAATTTAATGACAGTTTAAATTGAAATATCAGACAAATGGTTCTTATTTACAATTTACTCTAAATCAGAATGATTTGGAAAGAATCTTTTGAGGTGATGGTAAGGTACATCTTAATTCCATGGTTTACAAATGTTCCTAAATCACATGGTAGCTAGGAATTGGACTTGGGAATAATGTGTCCCAGTTCTCTTCTCCCTTCTTTCCATTATTACCTGTCATTCCTTCTGTTTCAGAGGACTTCTATCCTAGAGTTTATTAATTAATTTTACAGGGCCCATGAATCTCTTGAAATTGAATTATGATGTGCATATTTTTTTCAGTGTGAGTTCACAGTGTCTATCATATTCTTAAAGGAAATTGTGGGCTTTTCCCCAGAAAAGCTTAATAAATCTTGATATAAGATTCTAAAACATTGAAGATTTTAGTTGACTTATGCTAAAGGGGCAGGGAGGCCACATCTTCTGACCTCCTCTAACCACACAAGAGGAAGACAGAATCACCATCAGTAGCCCAAGGCCTAGTCCTGTGAGACCAGACCTGCTATCTCCCTCCAGCCCTTTCATCAACCGTTCCTCCCGCAGCACTCACCACCTTTCTGCTGCATTCGATAAGTCACTACAGTGGCCACACAGAGCTCACAGATTATGGGATATATTAGGGAAGCACCAGGTTACAATTGAAGTTCAAGAAAATGCTCAGTCTCTTTCAGCCCATCATCTCTCAGCCAACAGTCTCTCATAGTCTCTCTCCCAGCAGTGCGTGTCCCTCGGTGTCTCTCTCAGCAATGTGTGTCTCTTGCATCTCTTTCCCAGCAGTGCGTGTTTCCCAGGAGCGTGTTTCTCTCAGCAGAACGCTCTTCTCAGCAGCAGAGAGACTTCTGCCTCTAGGAGGTCTCCTTTTGAACCTGGCAGAGTGGCCACACTAACCAATCAAAACATCAGAGTTCTAAGCACCTGAGAGAGAGTGAACCTCCCAGAATGTTGCTTTGTGTCACACCCAAGAGAAATAACCCAGGTGGATAACATTTACAATCAGGAGCACCTCAGTTGCTCATTCCACCACTGAGTTTACAAAGACTTATGGCTAGAAAAGCCATACCAGGTAATTTACTACAACACAGGCCACCCCCTGGCTTTTCTAGCCATTATCCCATCCCTTTTATACTTCAAAAATTAACATCCCCTTCACCATCAGTTTAAAAATAACCATACCAATGAAAGTGTGTAAGCCAGCCACTTCATGTCTTTATTTCCCCCCATTTTAAATAGCCAATTTCTAATTTGTCCATCACTATCAAACCTGTACTCTGAGGAGACAAGCATGGTCCTTTCTCTCTGGAGAATCTTCTGTTCTGCTTGGAAACTTCAGGCATCAGAATCCATAAACAAGCAAAGTCCAGCCCAGTGCAAGCCATCAACTTGCAGCAACTTAACACCAGCTCAGTGTCAAATATCTTCCTCTTCATTTGGTTGGGTTCTGGTCAGCTCAGCCCTAGCCATTCCAGCTAGGTCATGGGTACCAACTGCCAAGTTTGGGAGTCACACTCTTCCCTTTACTTCAGACCAGCCAGCACCTTCTCTCACATTTTTAATTCTCAGGGACTATTTCAGTGCCCGTAGGCTCACAAGTCCTTGCACGTCAGACCAGCCAGCCCTTCCTCTCATTCCCAGCCTCCATGGCCTAGGTCAAAGTGTACCAAACTCAGCCTGTTTCTTCTTTGCTACACTTCCCCCATTTCCACTCACGTGGACCCAGGTGGTCACAAGTGAGCAACATATAAGCCTACTGCTCACTGGCTTCCTTTAACTTTCAGTCCTGGGAGGTATTTCTCTCATGGACCAAGACTTAACTGCCTTGATGTACCCAAAGCCTAAATGCTTGCTCAAAATTCAAAAAGCCAAACAGTCTTTTTTTTTTTTTTCCCCTCTTCAGATTTTCAAATGCAAATCTTCCATTTTCTCAGCAGTACTGGGTGGGGCTCAGGTTTTCTTCCTTAGCTCCTAGTACTCTGTACACACAGGGCTTGAAACAAAAGCCTGTGTTTCTTCTGGGCAAATTCTATTTCCCCTTTTAAACATATCCAATCAAGTATCAGCTGAAGGGAGACTTACACACTCTCTATTATCCACACCCCATAATCATTTCTAATGTACAAGCAGGTAAGAGACATGCAATACCCGTAGTACATTCAGGCAAACATGTAATCCAAAACACACAATCGTTTTTAAAACATTCCAGGTTCTCACCTTGACTACAATCCCATTCTATGCATGTGGCCTTGGGCCTTTGGCTGGGTGTAACCAAAAGCTCTAGCTTCTGAATCAATTATCTCCTTTAAGAGGTAACACCAAACAAAGTAACCCTCTAAGAATCCAAAGTTTCACTTCCCAGGCCCCTTCCTTCTTTCTTTTACAAAGTCTCATGCTTCTATGAGTCTGGAACCACTGCAAGGAATCCTACTGCTTCTGACACCAACTGCTAAAGGGACAGGGAGGCCACATCTTCTGATCTCTAACCACACAAGAGGAAGACAGAATCACCATCAGTAGCCCAAGGCCTATTCCTGTGAGGCTAGACACGCTGCCTCCCTCCAGCCCTTTTACCAACCCTGACACCAACCGTTCCTCCTGCAGTAGTCACCACCTTTCTGCTGGGTTTGATAATTCACCGCAGTGGCCACACAGAACTCACAGATTATGGGGTTTATTAGGGAAGCACCAGGTTGCAATTCAAGTTCAGGAAGAACGCCCAGTCTCTCTCAGCCCACCGTCTCTCAGCCAACAGTCTCTCACAGTCTCTCTCCCAGCGGTGCCTGTCCCTTGGTGTCTCTCTCAGCAATGCATGTCTCTTGCGTCTCTTTTCCAGCAGCACGTGTCTCTCAGGAGCACGCGTCTCGTGTCTCTTTCCCAGCAGCATGTGTCTCTCAAGAGCACATGTCTCTCAGGAGCGCAATTCTCTCGGGAGTGCGTTTCTCTCAGGAGTGCGTTCATCTCAGCAGCAGTCAGAGAGACTTCTGCCTCTAGATCTCCTTTTGAGCCTGGAAGAGTGGCCAAACTAACCAATCATAACAGAGTTCTAAGCACCTGAGAGAGAGCAAACCTCCCAGAACATTGCTTTGTGTTCCACCCAACAGAAATACCCCTGGTGGATAACACTCACAATCAGGAGCTCCTCAGTTGCTCATTCCACCACTGAGTTTACAAAGGATTATGGCTAGAAAAGCCATACCAGGCAATTTACTACACCACAATTTATTTGGTTTATTAAAATCTGTGTTTTAACTGGGGGAAAAAGACACTATCATACTGGGCCTAATAGGCTGAGGTCAGGTACAAGACCTCCAGGGTTTTGTTTTGTAATTTGGGTTTGGGTTTAGGTTTGGTTTTTTTTGTTCGTTTGTTTGTTTGTTCCCAGAGACAAAAATATGTTTAAAAAAAAAAATTGAAAATTTGAATTTCTTATAAATATAATGTAAAGTGTGTTAAGTAATAGAAATCTTAACACTAATATGGTGGTAACTTCTTCTTTTTAATATACGGTCTGGTAAGCATTGTGTAACTAATGTTTTATATAACTTTTTACCATCTACAGGGTGGAGCACCTTCTCCATTTGATAGAAACTTTGGAACAAAAATTTCTGCCAGAGCTATGCAGTGGATTACTACAAAACTAAAAGAACCTCATGGAACAGGTACAAAGACACAAGGGTGTGTGGACTCAGTGGTTGAGACTGAAGCTGGCACCCTTAGAAATACCTGTAATTTATGAAATAGGATATTTGTTCTTGTTTTTCTAGTTTTGATTGAGCACTGAACTGCATGTGATAAAAATGTTTTAATTTTGCTAGTCTCTGAGTGTCACTACTTATGACTGTTAAGGTAATAATTAAAACATAAATATAATTAGTAAGTCCTGAAACTCTCCCCCCTCCCAAAAAAAAAAAAAAAAAAAAACTATTGCCATCAAGTCCATTCAAGCTTATGACAGACAACCTTATGTGTCACAGAGCAGACTTGCTCCATAGGACTTTCCTGGCTGCTATCTTTTTTTTTTTTTAATTGTGATTTGAGTGTAAGTTTACAGAGCAAATCAGTTTTCCATTCAACAATCCATACACATTCTCTCTTGTGACATTTATTATAATCCCTGCATTGTAACAGCATTTGTCCCACTTCTTCCTATGCCTACCCCTTCCCTTCGTTCTTCCTTCCCATCCCCTCCTACCTTCCTCTAATTCTACCCCTGGGCAAATGATCTCATATGTTTGATTGTTGTAATAAGTGCACAATCTTTTGATATTGCTGTTCACCAAATAGGTCTGTCTATTGTCTGTCTGCCAGTTGAATCATGGGGGTTAAATTCAGTTTGTAGCTTCAAGAGTGTCTAAGGCCTATAGTCTTGGGCATTCTACCAGTCCTCATCAGACCAGTAAGCCTGGTCTTTTTCATGATTTTGAGTTTTGTTCCACATTTTCCCCAACTCTATCCAAGACCTCTTGTTGTTATCCCTTTCAGAGCAGTTACCAGTGGTAGCTAGGCACCATCTAGTTCTTATGATCTCAGGATCATGGAGGCTGGGGTTCATGTGTGTCCCATTAGTCCTTTGTACTAATTGTTTCCTGCATCTTTCATTTTCTTCATTCTTTTTTACTCAGAATGGGGGGAGAAAAATACTTGCACCTTAGATTCTTCATAAGCTTTTAAGACTCTAGTTGCTACTTACCAAAGTAGGGTGTAGAACATTGCCTTTGTGGACTATATTATTCCACTTGACCTTAGTGTCCCGTGAGACTATGGTCCTGAGCCTTCACACCCAGCGGCTCATGCCCTCAAGGTATATGATTATGACTAAGACGTTTTCCATTCAAATGGAATGCAAAAGTTGGAAAGAAAGAAGAATCACCAGTAGTTGGAAAATTTGGCCTTGGTGACAGAAATAATGCTGGAACTCGCATGGTAGAATTTTGTAAGACCAATGACTTGTTCATTGCAAACAGCTTTTGTGAACAACACAAACGGCGGCTGTGCACGTGGACTTCACCAGATGGAACACACAGGAATCAGATTAAGTACATCTGTGGCAAGAGGTGATGGAGAAGCTCAATATCTTCAGCCAAAATCAGGCCAGGAGCTGATTGTGGAACAGACCATCAACTGCTCATATGCAAGTTCAACTTGAAGTTAAAGACAATTAAAACAAATCCACGAGAGCCAAAATATTATCTAGAATATATCCCTCCTGAATTTAGAGATCATCTAAAGAACAGATTTGATGCATTGAACACCAGTGACCAAAAACCAGACTTGTGGGATGACATCAAGAGCATCATCCATGAAGAAAGCAAGAAGTCACTAAAAAGACAGCAAAAGAAGTGAAGACCAAAATGGATGATAGAAGAGACTCTGAAACTTGCCCTTGAGCGGAGAGTAGCTAGATCAAATGGAAGAAATGACAAGATAAAAGAGCTGAACAGAAATTTCAAAGAGCAGCTTGAGCAGACAAAACCAATTATTATAATGAAATGTGCAAAGACCTGGAGTTTGGAAACCAAAAAGGAAGAACATGCTCTGCATTTTTCAAACAAATTCTGAAAGAATTGAGGAAAAAATTTAAGCCTCGAGTTGCAATATTGAAAGATTCTAAGGGCAAAATATTGAATGATGCAGGGAACATCAAAAGAAGATGGAAGGAATATGCAAAGTCACTGTACCAAAAAGAACTGGTCGATCTTCATCCATTTCAGGAGGTGGCATGTGATCTAGAACCAGTGGTACTGAAGGAGGAAGTCAAAGTTGCAATGAAGGAATTGGTGAAGAACAAGGCTCTGGGAATTGATGGAATACCCATTGAGATATTTCAACAAATGCATGCCCCATTGGAGGCACTCACTTGGTTATGCCAAGAGATTTGGAAGACAGCTACCTGGCCAACTGACTGGAAGAGATCCATATTCGTACCCATTCCAAAGAAAGGTGATCCCACAGAATGTGGAAATTATCCAACAATATCATTAATATCGCACGCAAGTAAGATCTTACTGAAAATGATTCAAAAATGGTCACAGCAGTATATTGACAGAGAACTTCTAGATGTGCAAGCTGGATTCAGAAGAGGACGTGAAACAAGGGATATCATAGCTGCTGTCGGATGGATCTTGGCTCAAGACAGAGAATACCAGAAAGATGCTTACTTGTGTTTTATTGACTGTGCAAAAGCATTTGATTGTGTGATCATGACAAATTATGGATACCATTGAGAAGAATGCAAAAGAATTCCCAAACACTTGATAGTACTCATGAGGAACCTGTACCTTGACCAGGAGGCTGTCATTCAAATGGAACAAGAGGACACTACATGGTTTAAAATCAAGAAGAGGGTACGTTAGGGTTGTATCCTTTCCCCATACTTATTCAATCTATATGCTGAGCAAATAATCTGAGAAGCTGGACTATATGAAGAAAAATGTGGCATCAGGATTTGAGGAAGAATCATTAACAACCTGAGATATGCAGATGATACAACTTTGCTTGCTGAAAGTGAGGATGACTTGTGGCTCTTACTGATGAAGATTGAGGAACCCAGTCTGCAGTATGGATTACATCTCAATATAAAGAAGACAAAAATCCTCACAACTGGACCAACGAGCAACATCACAATAAATGGAGAAAAGATTGAGGTTGTCAAAGAATTTATGTTACTTGGTTCTACAATCAACGCCAATGGAAGCAGCAGTCAGGACATTAGATGACATGTAGCATTGGGCAGGTCAGCTGCGAAGGAACTCTTTCAAGTGCTGAGGAGCAAGGATGTCTCCTTGAGGACTAAGGTGTGCCTGACACAGGCCATGATATTTCCATTCGCCTTGTATGCATGTGACAGCTGGACAATGAATAAGGAAGACTGAAGAAGAGTTGATGCTTTTGAGTTGTGGTGCTGGTAAAGAATGCCGAAGGTACCACGGACTGCTAAAAGAACTAACAGATCTGTCCTGGAGGAAGTGCAGCCGAGATGCTCCTTGGAAGCGATGATGGCCACACTTCGCCTCGCCTACTTTGGTCATGTTGTCATAGGGAACCATTCCCTGGAGAAGGATGTCATGCTTGGTAAGGTGGAGGGTCAACGAAAGAGGGGAAGGCCTTCAACGAGATGGATTGACACGGTGACTGCAACAATGGGCTCAAGTATAGCAAGGATCATGGAGCTGGTGTAGGATAGGGTGGTGTTTCATTTTGCTGTGCATGGGATCACTATGAGTTGGAAATGACTCAACAGCACCTAACAACAATAACAACAAGACGTTTTCATAACTTTGTTTTTGTGTGGTCTGTTATGTTCATGGATATACTTGCAGCACATATGAATACAGAGGTAGAGAGACCCTCTGTCAACATTATATATATTCATGGTGTAGTCCCATTCACCTTGCCACCCTTGTTCAGCTTGAGTGTTTATGCATCTACTCCTAAATTATTAGTATTACTATTACTGCAGGATTGTATATGTAATTTTATTTACCATTATGGCCTTTAACTATTGTGTTCCTCCCTGTCTCCTCCACTGCTTTGATCATTTTATGCTGACTTCCCCTTATTGTATATTGCCTCTCACTTCACCCAAGTTAATATGTGTCTACCCTGTAGTTGATGATTGTCCCCCCTTTCTCCTTCCACCCTGGTAATCTTCAACAAACAGTTCTTTCTGTGTATAAACCTTTTCTTAACTTTTTACAGTAGTGGTCTCATATAATAATTATTCTTTTGTGATTGACTAATTTTACTCAACATAATATTATTTAGGTTCATTCATGTTATGAAGTGTTTTGCAGACTGTTATTCTTTAACGCTGTGTATTATTCCATTATGTGTATGTACCATAGTTTGTTTATCAGTTCATCCGTTGATGGGCAATTAGATTGTTTCCATCTTTTTGCTATTGTGAATAATTCTGCGATGTACATGGGTGTGTATATATCTATTTATGTCATGGTGCTTATTCCTCTAGCCTATTTCCCACCTAGTAGTGGGATTGATGGATCATATGATATTTCTATTCCAACTTCTTAAGGAAGCACCATACCATTTTCCACTTCTATCAGCAGTGTATAAGGGTTTTAGTCTCTTCACACTCTCGCTAGCATTGGTTGTTTCCTGTTTTTTGTTTTTTTTTTTTTTAAACTTTGTTCTTAATGTTGGGATGAGATGATGTCTTATTGTTGTTTTGATTTGCATCTCTCTTATGTTGATGATTGCAAGCATTTCTTCATGTGTTTGTTGGTCACCTGAATGTCTTCTTTGGTAAAGGGTCTGTTCAAGTCTTCTGCCATTTTTTAATTGGATTGTTTGTCTTTCTTTTGTTGAAGTATTGAAGTTTTCTATGTATTTTGAAGATTAGTCCTGTGTCCAGTGTTTCATCACCAAAAATCTTTTCCCAGTCAGCAGGTCCTCTTCTTACTCTTTTGACAAAGTCTTTTGATGCACATAAATGTTTAATTTTCAGGAGGTCCCAGGTGTCTGGTTTGTCTTCTGCTGCCTATGCATTTTTTAAAGTTATGTTTGATAGTGTACTTTAACAATGTATTAGGGTCCCTACGTTTGCCCTTATTTTTTCTTTGATGATCATTATAGTTTGGGGTATTACATTTAGGTCTTTGATCCATTTTGAGGTAATTTTAGTAGATGGTGTGAGATCTTG